ACAGAGGAAGAGCGCAGGGTGAGGGAGCCCAGCCTTTCAGTTCCTCCCTGAACCGCACCTGGGTGCAGGGGGCCACTGCCACGCGCCGCCTGGAGCCTCTCATATAGACATTCTTAGAGAAGGTTCTTAGGGGAATACTGAGAAATCAAAGTAAGAAAGGGGAATAGTGTAAAAAGCCATCCTCTCTCTCTCATAGGCTAGGTTTATACAGACTGATGAAAAACAGTATTCTAGGATATTTATTAATGTTTCCCATTTTGTGCTTGCTTGTAAGCTTTTTTTTTCAAACCTAACAACCACAATAATGATAGTCCTGAAAGGGAACGAACTTTACTTTCTTTTGTTGTTTAAAAAATAAAACTGGGGTATATGGTGTAGATTTAAGGGTTTCACAGAATTACAAGCCATCTTTTTTTAGAAGTTAAATACACGTCAGTGGAAAAAATCTGAAATGTGCTCTCCCCCTTAATTTAGGAGTATATAAATTTCATGTGGATATTATATCAGCATAACTGAAGGCCTTTGCTTGACGAAATTCTCACCTCAAATGCAAAGTGCGTACTAGTTTGAGAACTTCTCACCTACACCAATGATTGTTCTCCCATCACTCAGGGAAGCAGCTAATTCGTGAAACTAATGACTTGATAAAATGGTTCATTTTCCATTTTTAGAGTTTCTTAAGCTGTAAAAGGCTTTCCGGGGACAATGGAACAGTCGAGGTAGTGGCCGAAGGTAGCAGTGCCCTTGTTAGGATCACATACCCCTCTTCCAGATCTTGTACCTGGTGAGCTCCAGCAGATGGCCCGCGTCCCACCGCCCCCGGACCTTCGTCCTCGGAGCACTGTTCTCCTGCCTTTAGCTCTAAGAGTCCAGAAGTTCTCGGGGCAGACTCTTAGGGCTTAAAGTGCAGTAGTTCTCCCGGGGATTCTCCACAGAAACACCCGTTCTAGACTTCACACAAAACTCAGCCCTGAGCTTTCTTTCCTGTCTGGGCTCAGCAACACTAAGCTTGTGCTTGTACTCGGGTCACGCATCCTTTCTAGATTCTCACCGCTGGGGGCCTCGTCATAGGCTACACTCCAGGTCGTGAAACCTCGGCCCTTGCACACGGTTTCATTCCACTCCTGGTGTCACAAGACCGTGCCGGTAGAATAATCGCGTCTTCCTCCGTCCTGGGAAGTTGCGTGGGACCGTAGCTGTGCTCATGACAGTGAAAACACTTTTTCTTTCGTCAGGCTCAACTCAGTTTCCATATAACCCTCTGACTATGCGGATGCTCAGCAGTACGCCACCAACGCCGATCGCATGCGCCCCCTCTTCCGTGAACCAGGCGGCCCCGCACCAACAGAACAGGATCTGGGAGCGGGAGCCAGCGCCACTGCTCTCTGCGCAGTACGAGACGCTGTCCGACAGCGACGACTGAACCGCCCCGAGGGGCGCGGGCGGGCAGCTCTCGTTGCGGGTGGTTTTCTTTTTAACGGCGGGTCAAAAACCCGTCCTCCTCTGACTTGTGCCCAGAGACTTTGAGAGCCTGGACCACGGGTGATGAAGAAATGATGGAAATTTATTTGGAGAATCAAATGGGGGGAGGGGTGGGGGGCTGCGTTTGCTCCAGGCAGTTGGTGCAGTCTAATAGTGGAGGGTTGAAATGTAGAGTTTTTAAAAAGTGGACAATTCCTGTTCTTACATCTGTTTGTAAAGAAAACCATAATGTCTGTCTTTAAATCACTCTTCTGTAAATAGATGACCTTTTTTGCAGTGTTTCCCCTTGCTGTAGTATCTGGTGTACTTATGTTCAAATCAGCGCATCAACTTTGGGGGTAATTTTAAGAAAACAAACTCCGCACCTATCTTTTTAACCCTTGCCTTCTAAACGACCTCATACAGCCCAGTTACATAATGTTGGCTGTCACGGGCATTGTACTTTTATCCAGTTTTGTTTCTTCTAAATTCAGATTTCCGGTGATGTTTGAGATCTTGTGGAAATGTTTAGATTTTTAACACAGACCCTAGCATAAAATCTGTACATTACGTTATTAGGGTCAAAGGTAAGAGAAACTAAATTCTGCCATACTGTAAATTTCCAGTGCAGGCTTTAATTTTTTTCAATTAGTAGCACTGAAAAAATATTACTGCATGGGTATGTTATAGTTCAGTTTTTAAAGTTGAAAAAAAAAAAAGGCTTATTTGAGGCGTCCTTCACTGTTATGCACACTGGTGACTTAGCCACGCCCCTAGGTATTCTTTTCCTTCTGCATCTGATGCAGCCCAACAGAGCTTTTGTTTTGAAATAAATTTGACTACCCTGTCCATAGCCACATAGATCATGTGTGATTTAAGGCTCTTGATGTCTCAGGTTTCAAAGGAAAAACTGTATCTTGTCTTTAGGTGGCTCGGTATTGGCCGAGTTCGAAGGTAACAATCTGTGCAGAATGTTCGTCTGCTCAGTTCGCTGTGTTCTGTATCCCGAGGCCTCACAGCGAACGTGCGGTTTGGTTCCTGCCCGTCTGCCACGTGCCAGGGCTCCATTTGATTCCTTGTGGGCGAGAGTTTATTGCTGACTCTTTTCACTTCACTGAATCTCAAGGAGCAAATACTTTAAAAGAGTGAATTTTAAACTAATTATGGTACTGGAGGGTCCGTTTCATCCTTCATAACTGCTTGTTGAATTGGGAGATTTTCCTCCCATACAACTTAAGCATAGCATCGAAGCATCCTTCTGTAGCAGGAGGGCAGGGACCGTTTCGGAAAGATGCCACTGAAGATGAGAAAGGGGAGAGACGGAGGGCTCTCCCGATGATACAACTTAGCACTTTATGGACTAAGTAGATCTAAACTTTTTAACAAAAGTCCTCAAGCCTCTAGAGAAAGCAGGTATCCAATAACCACTGACTGAGCGCCTCCTTTGTAATGCGCGGTTCACAGGTGTGCCTGAGGCCCTCACGTGGCCCTTCGCCCTGGGGGTCTGATCCCTGTTTTGGTAATGAGGGCACTGGCTCAGGACCTTGCCCACACAGTTCAGTAAGCTACAAAGGCCACGAGTCCACGTGTGTCTGAAGTTCAAGCCTTCACTCCTGTTGCTATTCCACTCCCGGAGACTTCAGGTCCTCACGATAAACTGTAGAGCAGGGTGAGTGATCCGATTCCTTCTACTTGGAAAGTTGGTGCTGCTCTATTATACACACACAGTAAATGTTCTACGTAACAGTTACTATCTTAGATACCGTTAATAACTTAGTGTCAACAGACCCAAACGAGATGATGATAATGCTATTTTTCTAGGACCCTGAAGGTCCAAATCAGAACGGTTTTTGCGAACATGTCGGCTGAGAGCCTAACTTTTTACTTTCGCAGTTCCACTTGAGGACCCCTCACGCCCTGCTCCTCACAGTGTCCTGCCACGCGTGGACAAGAGCTAACGCAGGACCATTTCTTAGTGCAGAACATGGAAAGGACAGAACTCACACGTGGCTTACCTACGGAGCAACCCGTCTGGGAGGGTGGCCGTCCACCGAGGCAGGACCGGAACGGCACCGAGAGGGACCGAGGACTGGCGGCTGGCGGCTGTAAACCCAGGCATGATGCTCTGCGGGCTGAGATTTCAGTGTTCCAAAGCTGCCTCCTTACGCATGAGTGTTTAGCACCCCACAACTAGATGAAGGTCTTCCCGATGCTGTGCGAAGCAGTATTCTGACAGCCAGGTTTCCAGTGCATGTTCACGATTGGAAGTTTCCTAATGCTTTAATTTTGGTATGCTAGTTCCATTTTTAAGATATTTATGCCCTGAAAACTCTGGTGACATAGTTCAGACAAACTACACTATTTCTAACAACTCACTTTTGAATTCATACCAGTCAGGCCAAGGGGTTGGTCCTCCTGCTTTGCTACCTTGTTTTTACAACTGTGCAAATGAACTTTCTTGGAAATATCCACATGAAGAGACAGTCTTTCTGAGAACACCTACAGTTTTTCCAGCACTGGGATGGGACCATGAGCTGAAATCATTGTGGAGGATCGAAAAATCTTAAATAAAACCTGGAGTGACAAACCTAACTTTCAGTAACCCCTGCAATTGTGAAAAGGTAAAAACATTCTCAGTGCAGACGGTGAGTAGCTGACAATAATTTTTCAAAAATCGACCAACCAATAAATTAAGACTGGGTTGCACTGAAAATCTGATTTATATTCTATTTCTCATTAGACCTGAATAAAGGAGCTAGCTGGGTGGTAAGAGATGAGCTTAGAGAGCAGGAAGAAATTTACATCTGCAAAATATAAAATTCTAGTTTTAGTCTAATCCCCGAGGATTTGGACCTCAAGGTTTCTAGTATTTTGTTTTCTTCTTGACTCTAATAAGTTATTTCTTGTGAGAAATTCAAAGATTACGGAATACATACAGTGTTGTTGTAGAGTCTCTAGTTTATTATGAAAGGATTCTTCCAGTATGTACACAGGAAACAAAAATATCTGTTTATCATTCCCACTCACACCCCCACCCCCAAAGGCTTACCAACAGTAGTGTTCCTTCATGGCACCTACAAAAACTGCCTTTCCCCCAGGCAAATGGCTCTTTGCAAGACTTCGGAGGTAAAAGCATCCTTCTGCCCAGCTCGTACGTTTATACTTTATGCACTCTGAGGCAGTGTGATAAGGCTCTTTCAACACAGTAGTCTAGTCATTTAAGGTCATCTGACCAAATACGTTCTCCTACAGCTAAAAGAGAACCTCATCGGTCCCCTACTTTACAGACGAGGATACTGAGACCCAAACACAAAAAGCCAGGACTAGGATCCAGATAAGTGATCCTTCTGCTGTACCAGCAAGTACATGTCAGAATCACTGGGGAGACTTCCCATATTGTACTGGTAAGGCCCTACCCTGAGACCGAAGGTTTGGGGGTGCAGCCTGGTGGTCAGGGACCGAGGCTGCAAAGGAAGTGGAGTGCTCTAACAGCTTCGACAAGAGTTCGTATCATTCCTTTTTCCCCTTTTTCGAGGTCGTATGTAACCAGATATAAAAACATACAGTTCACTTTTACTTATAATTAAATGGGTATATTTTCAAGGGCCTAATTCCTACTTTAAAACGTCATGCTGGACGCTGGTGCAAACCAAGACAATACTTTTGCTCCACTATGCATTACATCCCACACTGGGCTTCATGAAAGAGAGAAGAAAAAGAACTCACCATAATCCCCCTTTGCCATGAGACATGTAGCTCTGATCTGCCAGATAGATAGCGATAAAATGAAAAAGAGGGTAGCGAATCAATGGATCAAAATCTTAGGCTAGAGATGCCTGGCTGACTCACCACACACCCACCCAAGGGAAACCTGGCCCATCTCCATCCACAGTTCCACCGAGACCAGCACGGACGGCATCTCACCAGTAGGTTACGACTGAAAGCATCACTTGACATCTGTCCTTAAGAATCAAAATCGGCCAGGGGTGAAAGCTGTTTTTCCTTTAAAAACACAAAGTGGCAGTGTATACAACTTGTCCTTCACCATAGCTACGTTGACAGAACTTGAATATCAAGGAGAAAGGATCTAAGCCATTGATTTGGGCGTCACTGAGACCGGACTAATCGCTGTTGCTGAAAATGCCCTACAACAAAAAGGGATTTAGCGCTTCATCAAATTAAGTTAAAGGTCTACTTTTTCTTGACAGCTCGGCCAACTCTTCCCTGATGTGCTGTATAGAAACCTCATCTCTTTTCAGCTCTGCTTGCTTCAGCGCTTCCTGGTAGATCTCTTTTGCTTGTGCATATCGCTCTAAAATAACCCAGAGAGAGGGAGAATAAAGAGAAATGCAGGTTTTCCGAGTGATTCTGCCAGACTCCGCAGGGTGAGCACTCGTGCCCGCACGCAGCTAACCCGCTGTGTGCTCCCAGAGCCACGGGGGGGGGGGGGGGATGGGGGGATGGGGGGGATGGGGGGGTGGCGGCACAGCCCACCTCTCCTCCAGGTCCCGCCTCCCTCAGCCTGGGCTCGCCAGGCAAGTACCAGCCACCGAACACAGTGATGCTTCATCCAAACACACGTCCTTGCTGGGGACCTTCAGGCAGCTGCTTCGTGCCGGAGCTTCCCGCCTGCCCCTTGCCCTCCCTAAAATCTTCTCACAGATCCCTACCTGCAGGGGCCCCCTTCCCTCAAGCCGGGGCAGTCCGGCTTCCGGGGCGCCCTACCTCGGTGCATCAGGATGGCAGCGAGGTTACTGAGCAGCATGTGCAGCTCGGGGTGCTCGATCTGCCGGGCCAGGTCGGACGCCCTCTGCACGTAAACGCAGGCCTCGTCGAAGCGGCCCTGCGCGTCCAGGGTGGTCGCCAGGTCACTCATCAGCACAATGGTCTGTACGCAAGAGAAACCAGGGCCAGTTTAAAAAGAAAACAAACACAACAGCTATACGGACTGAACAACCTGGAGTTTGGTGAACTGAACATACGCTTAAGATTTCATGGTTCCTAGCATTCCACAGGTGAAGGGCATCAGCCTTTAACAAGCCCCGGACGTTTATCATTCACACTGTACAGCACACAGCATCCGTTCACCTCGGGAAAATGATACAAATCTGGAAACTTGGGAACAGGATGAATATCACCTATTAATCGAATGACCAAATTAGAAGCACACGCACACAAATAAAACAGCAAGCAGCAGCTGTAACGATCTCATTTAAGGTTCAGCAATCCTGAGAAGCCAGCCTCCAGCGCCTTCTCAGGATGTCATTCCTATGGGTAACTCTAAGACTCATCGAGAAGAAATATGTAGATTATTGGCTTTAGGGAGATTCCCTTTAAGGGTTTGGAATCTTAAAAGTCTTAAGTCAGCATTTTAAAATTTTGACACTAAGAACGGCAGACCCACCTCATCCCCTGAAGTCACAGCTTCAAGCCTCAGTTCTAGCTCTTGTGATGGGAATTCCAGATTTGTCTTCTTACTCCTCAGTGACTAAATCCCTCTCCTGAGGATAATTCATAGCCCAGGACCGTGCCCCGCCCTTCGACCCCAGCCTTGGGACATGTTCCGTCTGGTTAAAATTTCTGTGTCCTACGCTGGGGATACCAAGCATCTCAGAGAAAAGCAATCCAGTTCCCACCCCTAAAAATTTAATGTGATAGAGGAGAAACACCAAGATTTCAGTTCAACACGTTTTCTGCTGTAATAGAGTTCTGCACAGTGTGATTAAATTCTCTGTCAGTGGTTTTGACTTTTCAGCGCAGTCCCTCTCTCCCTCCCTTCCCCACTTCCCCTGGCACTTTACCTGTGGGGCAAGGGAGGCAAGAACCTTTACGTATACCCTGTTCCTAAGGGTTCTTACTGAGATTCAGGATTCCAAAACGCTGTGGCCGTGTACCCGGAGGGCCGAGAAGCACCCGGTGCCTGGTGCGACCTCCTGTTCGGAAAGGCTGCTCTGCAGTGTAAACCAGTGTGCACGCAGAATGCTCTGGACAGACCCAGTAACTGATGCGAGGTCTCAAACCCTTTCTTTTTTTAATTTTTGTTTGTTTGTTTGTTTTGAAAGTCCTCTCTACCTACGCCCAATGTGGGACTCAAAACTCTCGATCTCAAGATCAAGAGCCGCACACGGTACTGAGCCTGCAGGCGGCCCTCCGAGTCTTTCTGAGTCTTTCCGAAGCACGTAGCTGGGGGTGGGAGAGGGGGTGGGAGAGCGGCGGGGGGAAGAGGAAGGGGCCGGGGCGCGCGGACGGGAAACAGCTGGGACCATCCGCTGAGCATCTGTCCCCAGGGAGTGTGGCATCTCACACCCGGAAATTCTGAAAGCTTTGTCTTATAGCTCCTCTCTCTGCTCTCCTCCCTTACCTGTGGGTGTCTTTCTCCTAGCATTTCTTCAGAAATCTGCAAAGCTTTTTCGTACATCCTCTGTGCCTGTGACGGCTGCTTGGAGAACAGAAGGTAGCGAGCATAGGTGTCTAAGCACATGCCAAGGAGGAGGTGGGTGCTGGCTTTCTCTTCCACTAAGAAGGAAAGAAGAGCAGTGCTGGCATATAATATAAGCACAACAGAGAAAGTGAGGCAGAGAACCGGCCAAGCTTCCGCAACCTCTTGCTTGTTACCAAGGCCCACACGTATTTTCACAGTCCAGGACCCACGGAATGTGTCCTGTCATTAAGAAGTACCTCTGACCTTCCACTCTGTCACACAAAGGCGACAATGCAGGTGATTAACATCGGAACTGTTCCCCGACCCAATTTCAGTGTGTGCGGTGGGGGAGGGGGGCGTGCCCACACCAGGAGCCATTCTCAGACACCAGCAGGGTGTGTGTGAATTCACAGATCGCATCCGATGCCCCAGGCTGAGGGTCAGTCCTACCGGACACCGCCCCCCGCCCCCCCATCAGACACCAGTCACATGCCCCGGGCTTCTGACAGCAGCCGGCGACACGCTGCAGCTTCCAGTGCGACCCCCTCCGACTGAGGATGCCAACTGCAAGTCCAGGTTCTGACAACGGGCTACACACCTGAGCTTCCCGGGCCTCCCTCCTTCCGTTACATTAATTTGCTAGATCAGCTCACAGAACTCAGAACATTTTACTCCCTGGGTTACTGTTCATTACAAAAGGACATAAGTCAGGAACAGCCAGATGGAAGAGACGCATAGCACAAGGTATGTGGGAAGGGGCGCGAAGCTTCTCTGCCCTCTCCGAGAGCACCAACTGTCCCAGCACCTCCACGTGTTCATCAACCAGAATCTCTGAGCTCTGCCCGGGTTTTTATGGAGGCTCCATTACATAGTGGCCGTTGGCGACTGATGAATCCTACGGCCCCTAGGCCCCTCCCCCACCCCCCCAAGGTCGGGGTAGGACTGAATGGTCAACCCTCTAATTACAGGGCCGGATCTCTGGACAACTAACCCTCCTTAGGAGATGGCCCAGAATCTCCTAATTAACATAACAAAAGACACCTTAATCGCTCCCAACACAAGAAATTCCACGGGTTTGGGGAGCTCTGAGCCAGGAACTGGACAAAGACCAATTAAATGACAAACTTTTCCTCACATTTTTCTTTTAAAGATTTTATTTTTTTAAAATAACCTCTACACCCAACGTGGGGCCTGAACTCACAAGCCTGAGATCAGGAGTTGCACACTCTTAGCGACTGAGCCAGCCAGGTGCCCCACTTTTCCCCACATTTTAAGTAAGACCTTGAGCATCAAGGTATGGAGCATTATTTTTAGGTCAAAACTGTTATTTAGTAGAAATAGGTAAAGATAAATTCCAAGAATGAGTTAACAACAAAGAAAGTATAGGGCAAATGAAAGAGTTTTCAGGTACAAAAAAGGCAATGCTTGGTAAGAAATCAGAAAACGCTCAGAATCCTGAACTAGAAAGTCACAAGCCAATTGAAAGAACAGTTAATCCATTTTTTGAAGCAGAAGAAGAAAGGCTGCAATAATACAGCAGCTCTGGGAAAATTACAGGATTGACGACACAATGTCCGAAAAGGAACAAACTTCGAACACCTCACGCCACACGAACGAGCACACAGACCTCGAGCGCAGACGCGAGTGGCAAGGCACACGGAGACCCAGGAGAGCGGGGACAAGCGACGCAGGCAGGGGGAGGACCTGGACTGCAGGGCAACTCCGCAAGCAAACCATGACCCACACGACCCATGATGTTCAGTTGGGTTTACCAGCAAATTCACATGGAACACCGTTCCTGCCCTATCCTCAAAGTTTCAGAAAACGTACAAAAGGCAGACAGAATTGAAAGACGACTATGGAACCAAATAACAGGATGACCAATGATTGAAGAGAGAGTTTAAAAATAGGCCAATGCACTTGGGGTGGACGAAGGCAGCTGTTGACAGGTTATCAGAGGCTAAAAAAACCTTTTTTTTTTTTTTTTAATTTTTTATTTATTTGACAGAGCCACAGTGAGAGAGGGAACACAAGCAGGGGGAGTGGGAGAGGGAGAAGCAGGCCCCCCGCCGAGCAGGGAGCCCGATGACCTGAGCCGAAGGCAGACGCTTAATGACTGAGCCACCCAGGTGCCCCGGGATAGTTTTAAATAGATCGCCTTACAAATATACTTCCAAAAAACATCAGAAAAATTATTTGCATAAATATTAAATAAAAGTATATACAAACATATGGATAAATACAGAAAAGCAAAGAGAGGATGGCACCAACCACCCATGTAAAGATCCCATATTTCTCTGCCAGGAGGAAACACTGAAACCAAATATCTAACCATGAGCAAAAGCTTATATGATCAAGGGGCAGTTTAAAATTAACTGTACTGCAAGATAATCTAATGAAAAAAGGCCGCTGAAAATGAGAGGAATGAGACAAATCTCTATGTTCTCTTCAAGTACAAACAAAAGTCCAGAAGATAAGTAATTTATAACAATCAGAAGACTTTGAACTAAAACACATGTTCTTCGATGACATTTAAAGACAAACCTGTTTGCCATACCCCCAAAATATCACAAAACAATGTATAATTATTCCAATTCTGGAAATTCTATGCTTCCAAAATGACTGCCAACTCCTATTTCTGGGATTTCTATTAATTCTCTTTAAATATTTCTATGTTTGTAAAAAGTCCTTTTTATATTTTACAATTAGAAAGTATGATAAAGTGATAGGTAATTCCAGTAGAAAATCATCACTACTGTTATCAGCAATGGAACTTAACCACAATGGAAAAAAAGGTTGTAAAGATTTTTAGAAATAATTAAAAGGTATGATTTTAGCTGTAATATTTTTTCACTGTTAAGAAAAATGCATTTCAAATTCATATCGCACTCTATAATATGAAAAATGAAAATAATTTTGGAGAATCTACTTCTCTAAAAAACAAGACTAGGGAAGAAATAAAAAGGCTCCATAATAAAACCTTTACCATGGGTGCCTGGGTGGCTCAGTCGTTAAGCGTCTGCCTTCGGCTCAGGTCATGATCCCAGGGTCCTGGGATCGAGTCCCACATCGGGCTCCCTGCTCGGCAGGAAGCCTGCTTCTCCCTCTCCCACTCCCCCTGCTTGTGTTCCTGCTCTCGCTATTTCTCTGTGTCAAATAAATAAATAAAATCTTTAAAAATAAATAAATAAAATAAAAAATAAATAAAACCTTTACCATACTGCCAAATTAAGAGAAAACTTCACAGCTTTAATAAAGTACCAGAAGAGTTCCTTTTCTAAGCAGTAACATTTAAAATACAGTTTCTTGAAATATTACTATAAAAACTGCTAGAAATTAGACAAGAACAAATCAGATAGCCCATAACAGCTGAGAAATACACTGGGATTGCTCAGACAGAGCCTCTCCCAAAGATTATCTGAATCTGAGAAGGAGATCATATTTATTTCTTCAAACTTATATAAGTAATTCTTTTTCACATATTATTTCTAACCAGAGAAAAAGAGAAGCTACCTCAAATCTGTCCATGAAACAAGATACAGCACAGAAATTTTTACTCAAAATATTAGCAAATGGCATTGTCAAATGCACCAGGGAAATAACCAAGAGAAATGACCACACGAGAACGGAGCAGTGTATTTAATGTATCAATATTATCAAATGCAGACTTACATAAACGCAGACCAAAAAGGAATGTGAGAAGATACTGGTTCTGAACAGAGTGGTTCCAGTAATGATGACTGATCAATTCTATCCTTTTACATGCACAGCTGAGCTCCGGAGAGAAGGAAATCCCAAGGGCCAAACAATAGGAGTAAGCTAAAAACCCAGAGCAGAAAGCGTGGGACTTGACACCACAAAGCCCAGTTGTGTGAGGGTGGCCTGAGTGTCTCTGTAACCCAGAACTGAGTTCTTCCAACTTCTGTCAATCAGAGAATCAGATGTGAAGCCCCTTGCATAAAACCAGAATGACCGTCGTAGGCATCGTGTGCCCCCTCCCCAGACCCTGCCCTCACCGGGGAGGGGACCACGAGGAACTTGCATGGGCCAGCCTGGGATCCAGATGGGAAAAGGACAACCATGGCAATCTCTAATCACAGCCTGAGCCGCATGGAGCTCGATGTCTACATTTAAGCATTCATTTCGGCTTGGACCTGAGTGCCTGGAATAAAACATTCCCGGAGTCTCATCTTCCAGTTAAAACCCTGCTGCAGATGAATTTATCATCCAAATGTAGTTAAGCATGGAAATTCACAATAAATGAGAATCAGCAGACAATAAAAAAGGAGGCTCACCCCCAAGAATTTTAGATAACTGACTAATCCAAGACTATAAACGAAGTAGGTTTTGAATAATTACTTATATGGCCGGTATGATCCACCTCAGAGCCTTGCGTGTGTTCTTCCTTTGCCTAGAATTTTCTTTAGAGACTGCCGCTTGGCTTATCCCCTCCCATTCTTCAGGTTTCTTACCAACGAGGCCCTCCCTGACCCCTCTATATGACAGCATACAGCCCCACACATTCCCTGCACACACAGTCCCTCAGACACATGTCTCCGTAGCGCTTAATCATCTTTGGATATACTATCACTGGCTGGATAGTGTTTATGATGAGTTTTTCCTCCACCAGAAACTGAGCTCCATGAAGCAGCAACTGCCTCATATTTACAGCTGTCTCTCCATGCCTAGTAACATGTACGGTACAGGACAGGCATTCAAAAAATATTTCTTGGGAGGACTGATTGAATGGATGAAAAAATAAAAAGAAGAAAACAGAAAGGTACTGCACTAAAGATGGAAAAGAAAGAATTAAACCAAGAATTAATTTTAATTATAGAATTCAACAACACTGGTGCTCCATGAATCTATGAAAACTCAAAACACAGATGTTATCACAGATCAGTGAGAAACAGATGATAATAAAATAGTCCTGAGCTATAACCCTGTCCGTGAAGGAGGAAAAATTCTATCACTACTTCACATCATATTAAAAATTCTAGGTAAACATCAAAAACTAATGATGTAATGTATGGTGATTAACATAATAATAATAAAAAAAATTCTAGGTAAAGACTAAATGTGAAAAAGCCTATAG